ATGAACTTGCCCAAAAAAGGGAGACTCGATGGCTGTATTTTTGAATTCTCCAGTGGTATTCTCTAGTGGTGAGCCCAGTTGATGGCAAATGAAGGACAATTAGAAGCAGACTGAGTGGCTTTGGAAATGTCGAAAGCATCAAAGCGCTGCCCTTAATTAGTGGAGATGTAAATATTACCTTTATAGGTTTTAAAAAGCAATATCTGGTACCTTAAACAGTGTATCAAGATGTCAAACACGAGAGATATACGATGCCAGACAGCGCAGCCCAGCACGCTGGCATCCCTAAAAATAAAAAATCGCCCGTCATGGCAGCCTCTAAAGAGAGATGTATTATGCGGCTCCCCTGCGGGGGGGCAACCCATGAATAAATAAGCGCGTGAATTTTACACAATTAACATGTAAAATAAACAAAAAACACTATTAATTTTCCGGCTAACAACCAATCAAGGTGGAATTTGACGGGCGCTATCTCTCCTCGTTCGTTTTTTCTTCTCCCCAACCTACCTTTGATTGATATGCCATTTGATTGTTGAGTTTATTAACTTGTTCAGCCAGATAAAGCGTTCTGTGTTTGCCCAGTTCGAGGCGTAATTAATTTATTTAATGGGATCAATTGGCAGCCGAGCGAACGATTCTTTAATCAAAATTCACTTTTACAGGTGTGAACGCGATTTTTTGCCCGTTTTGTCTTTAATCGGCCGTTTAATATCAAGCGTTTCACCGGGTTAAAGAGTGGTTTAGTTCTCGATCCAGTGGTAGGAAAACGAGGGCCGCAGCTCAAATGGTTCTGAAAATATATCCAAAGAAGTGGCGCCAAGTTTGAGCACATGATTGGGCTGAAATTGGCAAATTCATGAGGAAACAGCGTATTTTACACTTTTTTGCGCAAACAATGTTGGTTATGTATTTTAATCTGCTGAACTCAAATCTAAGCAAAGAAGTGTCTTCGGATTATGATCGTTCCAGAAAAATCGATTAAACTCTGAAAAACATGGTTGTTGATGGTTAAATAACAATTTTATTATCTTACTTTTTTGTTAAACACTTCGGTATTCATACATCATTTTTATTCCCAATCAAGTATTTATACATAAAACTAATAAATATCAATTTTTTTCCAATCCAATTGCGGAAAACACCAGAAAATTAAGCAACTTTCTGAATTTTCCAGTTTAAAAAAATCACTGAAATTTGAATAATGCTCTAAATATTTTTCTTTTTAATTGCCCTTTTCTGTGAAAATATGCCACGATTTCCTGCTTTGTTTCACTCAGTAAATGAGGACTTAGTCCTCTTTTCAGTGGTAGAAAAACCGGCGAGGTTGCTCAAACCGTTCTTGAGACATGTTTTGCTAAAATGTTGTTAAAACCGCAAGGTCAAACTTAAAATTTTGTTTTTCTAACAAAAATTGCCGAAATATTCCTTGTTAATTTGGGTTTTAAGCGCTCTACACACTAATAAGAAAAGAAGCAAGATAATCGAAATCGTTCTTGAGACATGACCAAAAAAGTGGCGTTATGTTTTACAAAAATATTGCAAAAACCGCCTCAAACCATAAATATGTGCCAAATTCATTTCTTTGAGTAAGAGCGAAGTAGTTCAAATGGTCCTTGAGACATAATGGAAAAAGTGAAGGCATATTTTACTAAAATTGTGCTAAAACCGCATAAGGCAAAAAGTACGTTCAAAATTCGCTTTTGGTGTAAAAAATTGCAACTATTTTCTAATTAATTTTCCCTAATAAATGGGTTTTTAACTCTCTCTATTCGGTGATAGAAAACCGAGCGAAAAACATCCAGAAAGGTGGCGTCATGTAAGAACATGACAAAAACTTCGGTAAACCGCATTAAACAAAAAGTGTCTTCTAAATTGTTTTTTTTT